TGAAAACTTTCTTTCCTGCCCACACATCTCTCAGTGACTTTTATTATTTGGATGAACTCTCTAAAGTTCTACCTCCTCCTTCCCCTGTTCTGTCACCCACTTCTATTATGCGATTGAAGTCCCCTGCCATTATGTGCAGTTTCCCTCTGACTACATAAACTACACCTGAAATCTATCTGCTGTAGGACCAGGATACCTCAGTGGCAGCCACATTGTCTATAGAACTCTATGTCTATGGTATAACTAACTTCTGGACATTATGACACACACACACACTGAAAGTATATTTATTTTCAGAACCTTATGTTTTTATCTTTATTCAGGATGACATAGATAGATATAGATAAAATAGGTAACAGAGCTCTTTAAAAATATATATTCCAGGGCAGATATAAAAAACCCTTATGTTTTCAATAGCATCTATACGCCCTCTGATGGTATTCAATGGAAATCACATGCTGCAGTAGAAAGAAAAATTCTATTTCATAGAACATGACACTGCTTAAGGAAGTGCATTTAATTTTATTTCAATTAAAACTGAATGAATGATGAAGAAAACTATATTACATGGTATCTTGGTAATTATATGTAACCAATATTTTCTATAAATTAAGTTACATGCCATATGCAGCTGAAGAATTCCTGCAATTGACAGTACTATAAATGAAAAGATTATCATTTTGGCACTTTAAGTTAATGAACAATGTCAACTGACAATGTTTTAAATTGTTCTAATACTTCAAGATCATATATATCTAAAGATATATAGATATCTATATCTATCTATATCACACATGTGCCTATATATATCCCTCCCCCACATTTCTGCTCTACCAATTCCTTTATATTCTCAAAATGAAAAGTGGGGACACTACTCATCTCAGGGGATGGGCAGTAGAGGGAGATTTTGGTAAGGGATAACAGAGAGTGACCAGGAAGTGAGAAGACAAAAGGAACATTTTCTTCTTTCTCCTGTTTCCTCCCCCTTTAGGAATGGAAAAAATAGGAGACATTTTCAGGAAATCCATTACTGTTTTTGTCCATCACCTCATGATTCTTACGTCCTTCCTAATCCTACCCTTTCCTTTTCAAATCTAGTTCTAGTCCTCTTTCCCATTACGTCTTCCTGGATGCCCAGCAGTGGCTGATCCATACTCCCCTTTCACAGTTGGCTCTCTATTTCTTCCCTTGCACTCAGCCTACCCTGACAACCTGCACAGACTGCTTCATCTCCCTCTGATCCATTCCTTAGCATCTCAGGAATACTGACACATGCACCTACTTTTAAACTTCCCTTCTTTTTACTTTATAGCTCCACAACATGGAACCACTTCATCAGCTCTGAAGGCTGTTCCT